ACTATCCTTGCATCCTTATCTCGGATACCTGTTTGCTTTCACACTTTTGACAAATCCAGTCTTGAGATTACAACACTGTGGCCTGTTTCTCCAGAATTTACAGAACTAAGAAGAAAGAACTCTGTAATACGAGGAACAGACGATGCCAAACCCAGGACAGAAATGCTGCTACCAAATCCCAGAATCTCTCTGCATGCAGGAAAGACCATGTAGCATGGATGGGAATACAGAATGGTGTTAATTCAAATTATTCATATACTTCTATTTTTCTGGCTTTATAAATTTTGATATTAAGATTTTGTTAGGATTTAATAAGATTCTATTAAGTTGCAAGGCCTCTTCTTTGTAGGCTAGAATGCCTTTTATCTGATGCTAGCAGACAAGAAGTGAACATTCTCTTTTTTATCAAACTGTTTGGATGGAATAGCTATCTAGTCTGGCAGTTCTAATAGGTCTTAAGTGTAGCATTGATGGCAAAGTGGAGGATTGTGTTTTTGAGGCATAAGAGCTTCTGAAAGCCTATGATCTTGGAACTCTTTTTATTGGACCAATGCGTTATCTTCCCAACTTTTGACACTGACTATCACCATTTGAGTTCGGAGGCACCCTTGTCAACTCCCTCTCTGTATTCGTCCAATTACCCTGCAGTGATTTTAAATCAATTCTAGGTTTTTACCTCCCCAAACAAATTTTTTAAATAGAAGATGGAGTGGAGCATCTTTCCCCCCTCAGAAACGGGGGGGGGGGTCATAAAAGCAGCCCCCCTACATTCAAGGAGGCCATCCAGTGGGAATGACGTCCCTTTCGATCTTACCTGGAAAAGCTGCTCTGTGGTAATGCTCCTGTGCAATCTTCTCCTGCACCTGAAACAGAGGGGGGGGGGATCCCAGAAAGGGGAGACCAATGAGAAAAGGAACAGAAAACAGGCTAGGGTGGGTTGGAAGGAACCTCCGGGGCCATCTAGTTCAACCACCTGCATAATGCAGGAAATTCACAAATACCTTACACCCCCATGCTCAGAAGATGACAAAAAACCTCCAGGATCCCTGGCCAAACTGGCCTGGAGAAAAATTGCTTCCTGATCTTCCTTGACCATATCCTGTGCCCCCCCACACACAGACACTACCAAGATGAATCCCTCTCACCTGCTGGTCCTGATTCTTCTCCTCTGCCCGGCTGAGGAGGAAGCCTTCTGCCAGGGCCACCGCCTGGGAACTGGTCTCCGGCCCGCATTCCTTCACCCAGCTCTCCATCTCCGAGGGCAGGACGGCCAGGAACTGCTCCAGGATCACCAGGTCCAGCATCTCCTTCTTGCTGCGCCTCTCCGGCTTCAGCCACTGGCGGCAAAGACGGTGGAGTCGGCTGCAGACCTCCCGGGGCCCCTCCGCCTCCTGGTAGCCGAACTGCCTGAATTGATGGCGCTGCACATCTGGAGGGAGGATGTGGTCTCCCAGGCTCTTCTGCATGGTCCCTTCCCACAGCTCCCTTCTGCTCCCATCTTCATTCGCATCAATGCCTCTTCCTGATTCAGGGGCAGCTGAGTCCAGCTCTCCCCTCATCCTCCCTTCCTCTCCAAACAGCCTTCCCCTTGACCGCTGGATTACCTTCCTCCTCTGCCAGATTCTTCTAGAAAGGGACGTGTTGGATCTGAGACCTTCTGCAAAGCCAAGATGGATTTTTGGATTGAGATTCTGTGTGTGTGTACACACATGCATATATATGACCTCTCGATTTGAAGACGTGAGCTCTGATTCATAAGAGATCATACTAGAATCAAGGGCATGAGTCTGCTGGACCTCTCTTTTGTTTTGCTATGATAGACAAAAACCACTGCACTACTTAGAATCATAGAATGTTAGAGTTGGAAGGGACCTTGCAGGTCATCTAGTCCAACCCCCTGCACTCTGCAGGAGCATAGCTGAAAGATAGCCCTACATGCCTACAAGGTCACATTCTAACCACTGGCAGCAGAATGCACTTACACCACATTACAGGAAGAACTCAGCTCTGCTTCCACTGAAGAGGAGCTTCCAGAGAGCAAGTAGGGAAAAAACGTTGAAAAGTGGAGTCCTTTGGTTAATAACGTTAAGGAAGTATTGCTAAGTTACAGAGTCCGGGTCAACGCTCCCTCTAAGCCGTGCAGTCTTGTGAGCAAAAATTCTACTTTGTGAGCTACTGGCATTAAAGCTGCGAGTGAGCGATTTGGCTTTTGCGTAAACTAGTTCGCTCTGGAGCCATCCTTCCTGAGCTAGGACAAAAATGTGTGAGCCGGAGGTTAAAAAACTGTGAGCTAGCTAAGTTCACACTAACTCGGTTTAGAGGGAACCCTGGGGGTCCGGGCAGCAAATAGTGCAGGAATCTTTGGGACACCCGAAGTCGGCCACCTCTCTGCACTATTCCACAGTCAAAACCACGGAGAAGTTTTTGCAAAGGAAACATTATTGTTATTGCGTACCTATTTTTTTTCCAAAAATCCGCCGCCGCTCCCCTTCCTCCGACATCATTAATCGATCACCACCCACTTGGGACAGTGGAACAGGAAGCGACTGCGTCAAGTCACCTGGCCCACTCGGCGCCTCTCTAGGAATGGAGACTCTGTCCAATTAACCCTTTTATTCCACTTCTATTCCATTCGTCCGAAGAAGTGCGCTTTGCACACGAAAGCTTATGCTCTGAATACAACTTGGTTGGTCTTAAAGGGGCCACTGGACTCAGACTTCGTTCAATTAACCTTTAGACCGACTCTCTCTACGGAAGGCGAAAAGGGGCCTCTTCCTGACTTCACCCTTCCAGAGGCTGCAATCTGTTTACCCAGCAAGCCTCCCTCCGATTTCCCTGCAAAGTGCGGCGAACCTCCCAGCTTCAGCTCATTCTTGTCCCTAAGGCTGCGATCACACACACTACATTAATGCGCTACATAATGGGGAAGTGTGGTCTGTATTATTCCCTTTGGGCAAGCGTGGAGCCCAATATCCTCTGTGGGCAAGCATGGTCTCCTTTATTCCCTATGGGAACGTGTAGTCTCCCTTATTCCCTCTGGACAAGCGTGCTTTCCCTTATTTCCCACGTCCACATGTGGTCTCCCTTATTCATTGTGGGAAGTGTGGACTCCATTATACCCTATGGTCAGGTGTGCTCTGCTCTCCATTATTCCCTATGATCAATCATGGATTCTCTGTTGGCAATTATGTACTGAACTGTCCCCTTGGGCAAGCCTACTCTCCATTATTCCCTATGGGCAATCATGGATTCTCTATTGGCAATTTTGTACTCCATTATCCCCTATGGGCAAGCGACCTCTCTATTATTCCCTATGGGCAGTTATGGGAAGTGTGGACTCCATTATACCCTATGGTCAGGTGTGCTCTGCTCTCCATTATTCCCTATGATCAATCATGGATTCTCTGTTGGCAATTTTGGATTCTCTGTTGGCAATTATGTACTGCACAATCCCCTCTGGGCAAACTCCATTATTCTCTATGGGCAGGGCCGGATTTAGACTTGCTGAGGCCCTAAGCTATACAAAACCCAGAGGCCCCCATCTGTTTTAAATTACATCAGCTGGTCTCAGAAAAATTTAAAATATATACGCCTTTTAAATATTTGAAATCATTTTTTATATTGTGTTTTTATTCAAGGCCCCAGCAGATTGCGAGGCCCTAAGCTGTAGCTTATTTAGCTTATGCGTAAATCCAGCACTGTCTATGGGCACTCATGTATTCCCTATGGGCAATCGCTGTCCTTAGTTTTAGTATGTCCCCATTGAAAGTGTGCATTATTTAGTGCCTGTGATCGCAGCCTAAGAGTCTAAGGAGGGATCTGGAGGTTCAGAATGGGGGGGGGGGCAGGATGGAGTCCCTGGATTTACAGAACTCTGAATGCAAACCGTTATGAAAGGAATAGAACAAAGCGTGAGTCCAGTGACATCTTTAAGACCAGCAGAGCTTAATTCTGGGTATCAGCTTCCGGGTGCGTGCAAATACCCAGAATTAAACTTTGTTGATCTTAAAGGTGCCACTGGACTCAGGCCTTGTTTTGTTGCTTCAAACCAACATGGCTACTGACAATAACGAGAAAGACTGGGTTAGATATACCAGACAAGAGACCAGGGGGCACTTTACAAACTTAACATGAATTACACTACATCCAGGTGGGCAGTGGTTTTGGTCTGAAGCAGCAGAACAAGTTTTGAGTCTGGTGGCACCTTTAAAAGACCAACAAAGGTTTATTCAGGGTGTGATTTTATTCAAAGTATGAGCTTTTGTGTGTACACACACTTCCTCAGGGAAGGGTGGGGTGTAGGAACTGGATTCCAGAACAATTTATGGGACGTCTCCTTGAAATCAAATCCCCACGGGAGAGAGCCAAGTAGCCATTCTGACTGGGCTTTTCAAAGCAGCAACAGAAACAAGCATTGTAAATAACATATGGTAACAAGTAAAGTAACCTACAGTTACTTATGGAGGGCATCTCATTTCCCCCTCCCCATTATTTCTTTCCCTTCCCTGAAGGCCCCCATAACCTGCCCACAAGCCAACAAAGGCAGCTTTGTCCTCCAGCTTCCCTCTTCCGCTCCCCTGGTAGCCTCTTCCTAGGAAAATCATGGCCCAGTCGCACAGCGCGAGCTGCAGGCCCAGTGGACTGGAAGGATCTCTTGCCTAAAAGGCAAGTGGACTGGAAGGATCTCGCCTATAAGGACCTGTGGATGGGGTCACCATGTGTTGACTTTGACCCAGTGGCACCTTCTTTTTCCCTATGGGGATTGTAAACAGCTTACATAATCCCCTTTCTCCTTCAGTTTATCCTCACAACAATCCTGTGAAGTAAATTAGTGAAGGTAAAGGTTCCCTTGCTCGAAAGCCAGTCGAATCCGACTCTAGGGTTGCGATGCTCATCTCCATTTCCAAGCCGAAGAGCCAGCACTGTCCGAAGACATTTCCGTGGTCATGTGGCCGGCATGACTAAACACCAAGGCGCAGGGAACGCTGTTACCTTCCCACCGAAGTGGTCCCTATTTATCTACTTGCAATTTCTTGCTTTCGAACTGCTAGGTTGGCAGGAGAAGTAAATTAGGCTAGCCCAATTTCACCCAGCAAGATTCCATGGCAAAGTGGGGATCTGAACCTGGATCTACCAGGTCCTAGTCTGAAACTCTAACCACTACACCACCCTGGCTTTTGTGGGGTGGTTGCTACTGAACAGTATGTTCACACCAGTTCTGTCATAGCAAATCACCTGACCTAGTGGTTGGTGTACAACTCAGCCCAAGGGCCAACCCCTTCAGTGTATTTTTTTTTTTTTTTAAGATTTCAGATTTTTTTTTCCCTAGAAACCTGGCTTTCCCCCCTCAGGATTGTAGAAGGATCTCTCTTGTCTTTTCATGGCTCCAGTCTCTGGACTTCAGTAAGCAGCGTTTTTGCCACATTGAGAACTGGATGTACTGATTAGTTAGCCAAGACTGTGAGCTGTCAGATAGGCTAGCTAGCTATTGTTGGAAGATGATTTTGAAAATGTAAGAATGTGGGGAACTGAACTGATCTGGAGCATCATCTTTGAAGATACACCTTGCCTGTAACCTGTTTAATTTTGTTAAGCCGTTTTATTTCTTTGCTGTCAAGCCACGACTGACTTACGGCAACCACGTTGGGTTTTTAAGGAAAGAGGCGATTGGAGGTGGCTTGGCATTGTCTGCCTTTGCGCCACAACCCTGGTATTCTTTGGAGGTCTCCCAGCCTAACACTAGCCACAGCTGACCCTGCTAAGCTTCAAAGGCCTGATGAGTTCAGACTAAGCCTGGGCTATCCAGGTCAGGGCTAAGCTATTTTAATGGGCTTGGACAACTGTTCTCCTTTAATTTATCTATGTAAAATAAATGCCATTATTATACGTGAGCCTTTGTTAAAAGTGTTAACAATGATGTTTTATTCAAAAGATACCTTATAAAAAAGTGCAATGGCACAATGGGGGGGGGGGACTAAAACTACTCAGGAACAAAGAAAAAACTATACTGAGGCCCCCCCCGGTCACACGGCCGGATATCGCGGGGGGGAGGCGTGGCTAATTGCCCCGGCGCAGTTTGATCCGCGATTACGCGATCAGACGTGCCGGCGGCACACCACCAGTCCTTCCCTCGATGCTGGCGGGTAAACGAGGGACCGGAGGGGAATGCTGCGTGCCAGCGCGATCGCACCACAGGCGTCTGGAGGCAGCCCGTGGCAAACGTTTACTGGTACCTTGGAGGTACTAGTTTTTTAACGCACATTGTCGGCAGTAAGCCACGGGTGCGCTCCACTTCCCAGATGTTGGGGTGTGATCACGCCTGGATAATCCGCCCACCATCCGTGCCTTTCCTGCAGCAACTTTGCCGTGTGACGGGGTCCCTGAGAAAACATATACAGTTACACAGAAGTAACATATACATCAAGAAACAAGAAATGCCAATGGCTACTCGCAAGAGAGCATGAATTAGAAAAATTCCACAAGAGGAACGGGATGACAACATAGAAAGTCAACCACAAATTAAAAAGTTGAAAGCCTAACAAATATTATATTATGGTTGCTAGCAGGATGTTTTGAGTTACCATCTTCTCCAATCCCCCAGAAACGCCATGCGTCTTCTTTATTTTATATCTTATTTGGAATAATAGATTAGAATAGTAGATTGCAATGTAATGTAATGAATAGTAGAACGTAACAGAATTTGGAATGGTAGATTGGAATGCATTTCTCTGGTCTGGGGACAGCAGAGATAACTCTACACAGCCAATCACCCCACTTCAAAGAAGATGCTGTAAGGTCGCCTCCATGCTTGAGAGGAGACGGATAGATTGTCTTTGCTTCCATAGCAAATAGCAGATGGATTTTTTCTCTAGTTAATGTGAATTTTCTGACATGAGAAGATGAATATTTAGATATGAGTTTTCCCCACATTCTTAGCATTTATCTGGTTTCTCTCCCATGTGAATTCGTCGATGGACAATAAGGCCTGGACTTGCAACAAAGGACTTCCCACATTCCAGGCATTTATATGGTTTCTCCCCTGTGTGGATTCGTCGATGGACAATAAGGCCTGAACTCCGGGAAAACGTCTTTCCACATTCCAAGCATTTATATTTTTCACCTGCGTGTATTCGCTGATGGACAATAAGGCTTGGATTTCCAAGCAACATCTTTCCAGACTCCAAGCATTTATATAGTTTCTCCCCTTGGTGGACACGTTGATGGGTAGTAAGCTCTGTATTCCGAGCAAAGCTCTTTCCACACTCCAGGCATTTATATGGTTTCTCTGCAGTGTGGATCCGTTGATGGGCAGTAAGATTACCTCTCTGAGCAAAGCTCTTTCCACACTCCAAGCATTTATATGGTTTCTCCCCTGAGTGGATTCGCCGATGGTCAGTAAGGGCTGAACTCCGAGCAAAGCTCTTTCCGCACTCCAAGCATATATATGGTTTCTCCCCAGTGTGGATTCGTTGATGAGCAGTAAGGCTGGCACTCCGAGCAAAGCTCTTCCCACACTGAAAGCATTTATGAGGTTTGTCCCCTGTGTGAATTCTTTGGTGTTGCATAAGATGTGCCTTCTGAACAAAAGTCTTTCCGCACTCCAAACATTTATGTGGTTTCTCCCCAGTGTGGATTCTCCAGTGTGTATCAAATGCTGATTGATAACTGAATGTTTTGCCACACACAGGACAATCGATTCTTCCATGGTATGGCTGGATCTCTTGGGATTCATTCCCACTCTTTCGTTTCGTTTCATTGTCTCCTCTCGGCTTATTCCCTTGCAATGAAAGCTGTTGCACTTCTCCCTCCAACTTGTTCTGGGGACCATTTGCCTCTGGAATAAAGAGCAAATAATGGCATTGGGCAGGATAACAGGAGAGAATTCACAGAAAACAAATAAAAGGAGTGTTCATTGCACCCCAAGAGATCTCTTCCCCTGGACTTATTACATCCAGGGTCCAATCACCTCTCTCTGAAGAACCACTGCCAATCAGAACAGACATTACCGGAATAGATGGAGCAATTGTAGCAGGTTCAATGGTGGTGGTTCTTATTTTGAAGGCCCTCAATGAGCCTTCTACAGTATCTTTCTGCCACCACTAAACACCACTCTCTGTGCCCCCACATACAGAGATAAGGTGGTCACAAGTTATGGGGCAATTTCCATGATGGCTCTGTCTGCGGAATACCCTCCCCCACCCCTGAAGCATGGTGGAAGCCAATCCACTATCTTTTTATCACTAAGCCTAAACATTTCTTTTCAGCTAGGCTTTTTAATGAAGAGGTTTTATCTTTTTTACTTTCTGCGTCTTTCCTGAGGACTGTTCTCTGGATATTTTTGAGGCTACTCAATGGCTGTTTTATGCTCTTCTAATGCCTCTGGCTTGCTTAAACTTTAGTACTAATAATTTATTCTGTGCTTAAGGTTTTATAGCATTGTTGATCTTTGTGAGTTCCTCCAAAAGGGATCCAGAGAGGCAAATAAGTAAATAAATGTTGTGTACAACTGCCTGTTGTCCACAAGATTTGGCACCATTAAGCCTGCATTTTGTTATCTGTTCTAACCTGCCTTTCACACTGGAGAAACCTTTCATAGGTAGTTTCAGCTGTTTCCTCTTTAGAAATTCCTCAGCTCTCCAGTGGCTAAAAGTTAGCAAAAGAGGTCCTATCCAGATACCCCCCCAAAAAAGGTCCACAAGTCACAAATAGGTACAATACCTGCTGATCGCACTCTTTCTTCTTGATCCTGGGAAAATGAACTTCTGTTTCCTTGCAGGGTAGAAGTAGAACCAGATTTGGGAACCAGAAGTTCTTCTTTGGGGGAAAGAAACACACCAGTTACTTCATGGGAGGTTAGCTGGCTACTGTTTTGATCCAGAAGTAAACGCCTGCTGATCCTGCTACTGGTCTGAAGTGGAGAAAGGAGTAAATCACAGAGAAGGGAAGCCTTAGCCCAGACAGGATACAGTATCTTAGCCCCCTACACCAAGGTAGCTACACCAAAGTAATTGGAAGTAGCTGAAAGTAAACAAACTAATTTCCTTTTCTCTTCTAAACCCCCCCCCCCCATTCTTCACCACCACACAGTCTAATTGGTGAAGCAGGGAAGAGGAGGTGAGTCGGAGATAAAACACTATTATCTATGCTGCTACTCAGTTACTACTAACTGCCTAGTCACTCAAAAAATCAACTCCAACAGCAATAAGTACCCTCAGCCAATAAGCCCTCACTATGAATGTAAGACCATAAGAGAAGCCAATGTTGGATCAGGCCAATGGCCCATCCAGTCCAACACTCTGTCAAAAATACCAAGCGCCATCAGGAGGTCCACCAGTGGGGCCAGGACACTAGAAGCCCTCCCACTGTTGTCCCTCCTACCAAAATCCTTAAAACCACTCAAGTGAGCTATCAGTTAAAATAAATTAAAACAACAGTCACAAAACAGTTAAAACAGATCAAAAGAACACAAAGGAAAATGAAATATCAGCTGTATCAAATCAAAAACAAAACAAAAGCCCTACACTAATCCCCCTCAAACCTTTTCATTTAACCCGACTTCCATGCCACTCTTATCCCCCCCCCCCCAACTAAGGAGAAGGGAGCTGTTCCTGTAGGCAGCAAAGGATAAGACTTGCAGTAATGGGTTTAAATTAAGGGCAAGATGGGACCGGCTGGACATTAGGAAAAACTTTTTTACAGCAAGAGTTGTGCAACAGTGGAATCAACTGCCTAGGGAGGTGGTGAGCTCCCCCTCACTGGCAGTCTGTAAGCAGCGTCTGGACGAACAATTGTCAACAGGGCTATTTTTGGGCCGGAACGCACAGGAACGGAGTTCCGGCTGGCTCCTGAGTTGGCCACACCCAGCAGAAACTCATTAGCATAATAGGCCACACCCAACAGCAGAAACTCATTAGAATTGGCTACATTAGGGGTGTGTGGCCTAATATGCAAAGGAGTTCCTGCTACAAAAAAAAATCTCTAGGTTTTGACAACAAGGTAAACAGAATAAGAAGCAAAAGGTAGGTGTGGCTGGATGAGCACACTTCTGGTAACATGGGGGTGTGACCTAATATGCTAATGTGCTGTGCTGTCAAGGGTGTGGCCTAATATGCTAACGAGTGTCTGCTGTTGGGTGTGGCCTATTATGCTAACGAGTTCCTTCTGGGCTTTTTCTACAAAAAAAGCCCTGCTTGTCAGGAATATTCTAGGATGATCCAGCATTGAGCAGAGGGTTGGACTAGATGGCCTGTAGGACCCCTTCCAGCTCTGCAATTGTGGGGAGGGAGAGGACGTTTTGGCACTGAGTCTGTAAACCAAAAAGGGGAGGGGGAAAAGAGAAAGGCTAACAGCTAATTAATACTAAACTGGACAAAGAACAGAAAACAGAAGACCAACTAGTTAAAACAAGATTAAAAAAAAGAAAACGAGGATAAAATTCCTCTGAAAACAGAGCACAGCCTCACAGTGTCCTATTGCACCGGGACCGGCTCTTCGCTCCCTACAAAGGCAAGCAGGATCCGACACCCTAGTCTGACACCACCTAATGCGGATTTGATAAAGGGCCGCTGTCTAAGGGCTCTTCTCCCTTTGAGGAGACCCCACAATCCTCCCCGGACAGGAAGAAGTGGTGATGGATCTAGAAAACCTTGAACTCCTACTAACTATCTGAACACTTAGAAATCTGATTCTGTTGTCTATGTCGTGCTTCTGTATCCCAGGCTTCCTCAAAGGACTTCAGAACAGACATACATTGTCTTCCCTTTCCCACCAGCCTAGTATGGGAAAATAGCACCTGCCACCCCTGAATCCAAGAGAAGTCCGGCAGGCATGGATTCTGCAAGTGAAGCTCTTCATGACATACGACAAATCTTCACCTGCTACGATTCCTGTTTTTCTTGCCTCACTGTGCTGCATCAGAGCTCTGTCACCTTATTTTCCTGGGCCATGCCTAAGCCTACAATGGTGTAAGTAGAATGAACACAGTAGAATGATGCCAGTACATCCCTTGGGTCCCCCCCCCACCACCACTTTTGTCCTCTTCATGTCCAATGGGAGACGAGTAAAGGCAAGGAAATGTGTTCATGTGCTCGGTAACATTCACAGTGAGAGCCCTGTATAAATACAAAAATGACCACTATTGCCCTTATCTTAAAGTGCTTGTTTCCTTGGCTGCTCTGAAAGGCACAGGAGGAGGCCTGATGGAAAAGCCTCCTTCTTGGTTCTCTGCCCTCTGACTGACCTTTCCAGGAGACATCCTATAAACTGTTATGAAGGCCAATCGCTCACCCATTTCCCCTCCCTGCTTTCGATGCCTTTTCAGGGGCACTCAACTTTGTGTGCCTCTGAAGAACAATCGGCCTGCTCAGTCCTCAGTGGTCCCTTGGGGAGTGGGCCACGTTCCTTATAAGCCGGTGTGGTGTAATGGTTAAGTGTGCGGGCTCTAAACTGGTCGAGCCGGGTTTGATTCCCCACTCCTCCACATGCAGATGCTGGATGACCTTGGGCAAGCCATAGTTCTGTCAGAGGTGTCCTTGAAAGAGCTCTCTCAAGAGCAGTTCTCTCAGAGCTCTCTCAGCTCCACCTACTTCATAGGGTGTCTGTTGTGGAGAAGGGAAGGGAAAGGAGACTGTAAGCCGCTCTGAGACTCCGAGTGAAGGGCGGGGTATAAATCCAATCTCCTCCTCCTCCTCTTCTTCTTAAGCAACATTCTAGCTTACAAACTAATACATGTGCTGGGATCTCTCCCTTGCCTGTGTATGGACCGAGTCCAATCCTCTTATCAGAGTTTTTTCTAGGAAAGGGCCATTTCTGCCTTTAGCATTTTTGAATCAAGGGAAAGGAGAGCCTTACCCAGAGAGGCCACATTCTGACCATTCTCCTCCATGACTTCCTGGTGAAGCCTTCTTTGGTCCGGATCTAGCATGGCCCACTCCTCCTCGGTGAAATGAACAGACACCTCCTCCAAGGTCACCAGACCCTGAAAAGAGAAACAAACAAACTCCTCCGTGTTCAAAGATAATGTAAGAAATCTTCCCCTTCTAAGGGCAATCCAAAAGGACTATAATGTCATGTTTGCTTTTGGGATTCAAACCTCCGTCAGATGGTTTCGTTTTCTGTCTAGTGGGCAGTAGAAATAGCAGGGGAGGGGGGAGAAATAGGTCTTGGGATGGGGGGGGGGACCCAGGGACAGGATCTGCAGTTTCACACTTACCAGATCCAGCTGCATGGATGCTGCCTTCTCTCTGCCACAAAGAGATGGCAAAGAACATATCGTTGGTTTCAAGGCACTGCCTGGAAAGACGAAAAGGTAGTTGGAAAGGCATTCTATACTTCCCAAGTTCTGTTCGCTGAATGGGGGAAAAGATTCTCCCTTTCTTAGCTCCTGGTCAAATGTATCCTTGCATCCTTTATCTTAGATAAATTTTTGCTTCCACCCTTTTGCCAAATGCAATCTTCCTAAAGTTTCATATGCAAGCCTACGGGCTGTTTATCCAAGAACGACACTGAAGTGCAAGGAGCAGGCAGTTCTAAACTCACTGACAGAGCCGCAGGCTTGCATACCCCCAAATCTCTTTGCAAGTGGGTAAGATCAGCCCATATGGCAAAAGGTAGCCTTGCTACTACTGGTGACAGACCAACAAGTAGTTAAGACGCTGAACTGCAGGCCGTGGAAGGTCAGTAGTTCAGCAGTTCGAGACCCGAGTGTGCCGCATGATGGAATGAGCTCCCGTCTCTAGTTCCAGCTCCTGCCCATCTAGCAGTTCGAAAGCAAGAAATTGCAAGTAGATAAATAGGGACCACTTCGGTGGGAAGGTAACAGCGTTCCGTGCTCCTTGGTGTTTAGTCATGCCGGCCACATGACCACGGAAACGTCTTCGGACAGCGCTGGCTCTTTGGCTTTGAAACGGAGATGAGCACCGCAACCCTAGAGTCGGACTCGACTGGCTTTCGAGCAAGGGAACCTTTACCTTTTACATCCTAGCTAGGTGCCACTGACACATCATCTTTATTATATTTATGTGACTTGTTCTGGATTCCCCCCCCCCCCGTTCTAGAATCCCAGCCCAAAATTATTTTGTCGTACTAGGAAACTTTGCAGTTGGATTCAGATATTCTTATCATATCTTGTAATGTGATCATAGGTAGACAATATGTTGTAAATTGTAATCTGCTTACTGATTCACTGAATTCTTTTTATCATACTTATCTGCCTAAAGTTCCAGTAAGAAAGGCAGACCATAAATGGCAACAATAATAATAGGACCTTCCCTATGAGGAAAGGCCAAAGAGACTGGGACTTTTTAGTTTAGAAAAGAGAAGACGGGGGGGACGGGGGACGACAGAGGTTTCTAAAATCATGCATGAGGTGGAAAGAGCTGACAAAGGGAAATTTTTTCTCCCTCTCCCTAAATACTAGAACTCAAGGGCATCCATTGAAGCTCATGGGCAATAGGTTCAGGATGGACAAAAGAAAATACTACTTTACACAGAGAGTGATTCAAATGTGGAATTTGCTGCCAGAGGATGTAGTGATGGCCACAGGAATAAACAGCTTTAAACGGGGATTAGATAGATTCGTGGAGTAGTCTATCGATTGCTCCTAGCCATGGTCACTGAGGGGAACCTCCACATTCAGAGGATCTAAGCCTCTGAATCCTAGAGCCAGGAGGCCACATCAGGGGAAGACCTCGGCCTCTATGCCGTGTTGTTGGCTGTCCAGAGGAACTGGCTGGCCACTGTGTGAAACAGGAGGCTGGACTAGACGGATGACTGGTCTGATCCAGTGGGGCTCTTCTTATGAACTCCTTTACTGCTGCAGCAAGAAGTGAGGTGGACTGGAAATGGTTACATTGCATTTTCTCCTAGACATTTAGTAGATTCTCATATATAATACTATCACAGGCAAACTGTAAATCCCCAACATTTGTCTTCATTGATGGTCCGGCATTTTTATGACATCTTCACAGTTGCCAAAGTTACCCCAGAACTCATAGAAGGTAAGTGGGGGTATGCCTAAGCCGCTATTCTTCTGATTGCCCTGCTCAAACTTTAAATCGATTCTCATTCTTTAGTTCCCCAAATAGAAATGTCTAAACTGAGAAGCTGGAGTGGAGCACCTTTCCCACACAGGATCGGGAGGGGCATAAAACCAGCACCCTTATACTCAAAGGGGACACGCAGTGGGAACAATACCCCTTTCGATCTCACCTGGAAAAGCTCCTTCATGGTTATCTTGGTGCCCAATGCGATCCTGCACCTGAAATAGAAGTGGGGATCCCAGAATGGGGAGACTGGTGAGAAACAGAACAGGAAACGAGCTGGAGGGGGATCTTAAAAAGTTGGGGCAATTCCTATGTATTTTTCCGTTGTTATTCTTCACACCCTGTACCGCACACGCTACATAGATGCAACCCTCTCACCTGCTGGTCCTGGTTCCTGTCCTCCGCCTGGCTGAGGAGGAAGCCTTCGGCCAGGGCCACCGCCTGGGAACTGGTCTCCGGCCCGCACTCCCTCACCCAGCTCTCCATCTCCGGGGGCAGGACGGCCAGGAACTGCTCCAGGACCACCAGGTCCAGCATCTCCCTCTTGGTATGCCTTTCTGGATTCAGCCACTGGCGGCAAAGACGGTGGAGTCGGCTGCAGACCTCCCGGGGCCCCTCCGCCTCCTGGTAGCCGAACTGCCGGAACAGCTGGCCCTGCACATCTGGAGGGAGGGCGCTGTCCCCCAGGCTCTTCTGCAGGGCTCCTCCCCACAGCTCCCTTCTGCTCCCAGACCTGGTGGCATAAGGGCCTTTCCTTGCTTCAGGAGCCACTTTATCTGGCTCTCCCCTCATGCTCCCCTCCTCTCCAAACAACCTTTGCTTGGGCCAGTGGATCACCTTCCTCTTCTGCCAGGTTCTTCTGTATAGGCAAGAACCAGATCTGTAATCCCTGCAAAGCCATGACTGATTTTTTTGACTGATATCCACAACATCTGCATCTGAAGAAATGATCTCTGACTCACAAACGCTCGTGCTGGAATCAAGGGTATAAGTAAATAAGAAGCTGGACGGAGCAAATGAAGAGGAGCTTCTGTGCAGCAAGTAGAAAGGCTCTCCTCTGCTTAATATAAACATTGCTAAACTATAAGCCAGGGATGGCCAAAGCTGCTTAATGTAAGAGCCACATAGAATAAACGTTAGATGTTTGAGAGCCGCAAGACCTGAACAAATATTAAACACAAGTTTTGATTGGAAAATATGCAAATTTGCTTTTAATTAACATTAAATAAGTGCACAAATAAAAACAAAAGGGGCAAAAAATGGTATTGATAATGATATTTATTTGTCCAATGATATTTATTTGTTTGCTAATGATATTTATTTGCTTGCTAATGATATTTATATGTTTGCTAATGATATTTATGTGTCTAAGAAAGAGAGATGTGGAAAGAATGAAAAAGGTGGAAAGGAAGACAGAGAGAGAGAGATAAACAAAAAGCAAATAGATGGGGGAGGGAGGGAGAAGGGAAGGAGGGAGTGAGAAAGAGAGAAAAAGAAAGAAAGGTGGAAAGAAAGCAAATAGATTGGGGAGGAAAGAGAGAGAGAGAAAGAGAGAAACGAAGCAAATAGATGGGGGAGGGAAGGGGGGAAGGAAGGAAGAGAGAGAAAGGAAGGAAGGAACAATGAAAGGAAATAGGTGGGGATGGAGGTGGGAGGAAGGAAGGAAGAGAAAGGTGGAAAGAATGAAAGAGGTGGAAAGAAAGAAGGAGAGCAAGAGAAACAGAAACAAAGAAAGCAAATAGATGGGGAGGAAGGGGGAGGGAGAAAGGAAAAGAGAGAGAGAGAAAAAAAGAAAGCAAATAGATGAGGGAGGGGGAGTGAAAGAGAGAGAGAGGAAGGAAGGAAGGAAAGGTGAAAAGAAAGAAAGATGGAAAGAAAGCAAATAGATGGTGGGAAGGAGGGAGGAAGGGGAAAAGAAAGAGAAAGGTGGAAGGAAAGCACCTTTGAGAAAGCCAAGTTCAAGATCTGACTTCAGAGAACTTGCGGATTCATCGAGAAGGGATTGGAACATAAGAACAGGTCTGCTAGATCAGACCAGTGACCATAAGAACATAAGAGGAGCTGGCTCAGACCAATGATCCATCTAGTCCAGTGTCCTGTCTCACACAGTGGCCAACCAGATCCTCTGGACAGCCAATAATAGGGCATAGAGGCCGAGGCCTTCCCCTGATGTTGCTTCCTAGCTCTGGGATTCAGAAGTTGACTGCCTCTGAACTTGGAGGTTCCCCTCCATCACCATGACTAGTAACCACTGATAATCTTCCATGAATCTATCTAATCCCCTTTCAAAGCTATCTATACCTTTGGCCACCACTGTATCTTCTGGAAACCAATTCCACATTTTAATCACATATTATGTAAAGAAGTATTTCCTTTTGTCTGTTCAGAACCTACTGCCGATCAGCTCATGTGATACCCCTGAGTCCTAGCGTTTTGGGGAGAGAGAGAAAAATTTATCTTTGTCAACTCCCTTCCTCCAAATCTCTATCACGTCCCCCCTTAGTAGTCTCTTTTCTAAACTCTAGTCCCAGACTCTATAGCCTTTCCTCAAAGGGAAGGTGCTCCAGCCTTTTAACCATCTAGGACCCCAGTCACACGAGCGGAAAAAGTGCAGCTTTTTAGAGCCGGAACAAACAGAAGCACGACAGCGGGATCAGACAGGTCCCCCGAGGCTCTGCGCTTCTGCTGGCAGCCATGATCACATGCTGCAGGGAAAGCGACTCTAAGTAGGGCGAGGAGGGCCAGCTGCAGCAGTTGTGCGCATGCGCAGTTCGCCATTACCACACATACCACGGGATAACCGCGCGTCGGCGATCCCACGGCCACCGATGCTGCGCGTCATTCGGTAGGTAATGCCCTTTCACTACTCTCTTTTAGATCTGCATCTTCGGCCGGAAGGGATGGGTTGGGGGCGGGGGTGCGACGCTTGCCAGACGTTGGCATCTGATCGTGCCAGTTGAATCCGCCCTCGACCCGTCCGTTTTGCGGGGCAAATCCTCCCATGTGACTGGGGCCTAGGTTGCCCTATTCAGTACTTTTTCCATCTCTGAGGTGTCCTTTTAGAGATACAGTGACCAGAACGATGCACAGTATTCTAAATGAGGCTACACCATAGATCTATACAGGGACATTATAATATTGGCTGTATTATTTTCAATCCCTTTCCTAATAATCCCCAGTGCAAGTTTTTTTCACTGCTGCAGCACACTGGGTGGACACTTTTCATTGAGCTATCCAGTATGACCCCAAGATCTTTCTCTTTCCCTCTCAGTCTTAGCAAGTTCAGACCTAATTATCCTATCCTTGAAATTGGATTTTTGGTCCCAACATGCATCACCTTATACTTACCTACACTGACCTTCACTTGCCACATTGTCACCCACTCGCCAAGTTTGTGGAGTTCCTCTTGGAGCTCTTCACAGTCAGCCTTGGTTTTTCACCAGCCTGAATAATTCAGTGCTATCTGACCTTGGCCCCTACACTGCTCACCCCTAATTCCACATTATTTATGAACAAGCTAAATCATACTGACAGCAGTGTTCCGAAGAAGAAGAGGAGGAGGAGGAGGAGGAGGAATTTATACCCCGCCCTTCACTACCCAAAGGTGTCTCAGAGCGGCTTACAAACTCCTTTCCCAGTTTGGTGTAGTGGTTACGTGTGCGAACTCTAATCTGGGAGAACCGGGGTTGATTCCCCACTTCTCCACTTGCACCTGCTGATGTGACCTTGGGTCAGTCACAAGCTCTGGCACAGCTGTCCTTGAAAAAGGGCAGTTTGTGTCAGAGTTCTCTCAGCCCCAAACACCTCACAGGGTGTCTGTTGTGGGGAGGGGAAGGGAAAGGAGTTTGTAAACCGCTCTGAGACTCCAAGTGAAGTATAAATCCACCGCTCTTTTTCAAGGACAGCTCGTCAGAGCTACGACTTGCCCAAGGCCACCCAGCCAGGTGCAAGTGGAGGAGTGGGGAATCAAACCCAGTTCTCCCAGATTAGAGTCCGCGCACTTAACCCACTACACCAGACTGGCTGAGTTAGTGTGAGCTAGCTCACAGTTTTTTAGCCTCCGGCTCACACATTTTTGTCTTAGCTCAGGAAGGAGGGCTCCAGAGCAAACTAATTGATGCAGTGGCCAAATTGCTCGCTCACAACTTCAATGCCAGTAGCTCACATAAGCAGAATTTTTGCTCACCAGACTCCACAGCGTCGAGGGAGCACTGACCGGCAGCAACACCGATTCCTGTGGGACCACCCCACTGGTTACTTCCCTCCATTGTGACAACTGTCCATTTATTCCGACTCTTTGCTTCCTGTCATTTAACCAGCTGGACTGGCCCAGGTGTCCCTGGCAGCAAGATGAGAGGCAGATTTCTAGAAACCAAAGATTTTAGCAACTGGAGGGCGCCAAGCTGCAGAAGTCACCCAGAAAACAGCAGGTCTGCTGGCAGGGAAAAGTTGTATTGAGTGTAGGATGAACTGTCTCTTGTGGAAAGGGAACCCTCCAAAACCCCAAGCTTGTTCTTCCAGAATAGGAAGAGGGGGGAAACCCGCAAATCTTTGGGGACCACAGCTGCGCCACGGGAATGCCACCCATGGAAAGAATTACGAGAAACGCCCAAAGAGGGCAATTTCGTTGCCGTTTGCAGATAGTAGCAGAATGTAGAGAAAATGCATCAGAAGGTGCGCGCCGTATTGCAGGAAAGAACTCCGAGGAGCACTGTTCCTGCTGAGTTAGTGTGAGCTGGCTCACAGTTTTTTAGCCTCTGGCTCACACATTTTTGTCTTCGCTCAGGAAGGAGGGCTCCAGAGCAAACTAATCTATGCAGCAGGCAAGTCACTCGCTCACAACTTTAATGCCAGTAGCTCACAAAGTAGAATTGAATCACAAGACCCTACAGCTTAGAGGGAACATTGCCGCGGAGCTGCTTACAGAGCGAGCAGAAAAGCTCTGTGAAAAGCGGAGCCCTCTGATGAATGAAGTGAACGAAGCAATGCTAAACTGCAGGTTCGGTTTCGTTCACACTGCAGGGAATCTTGGGAGCAGCCAAACGCGGCTACCCGTCTGGACTAGTCCACTGCCAAAAGCAGGGAGGTCTGGAGCAAAAGAAAGACACTTTCATATTGCTTCACCTACTTTTCCAAAAGTCTTCGGGCGCTGCCTAAGTCTCCTTCTTACCCCGATGGCGCCAGCGACTCCCCACTCACGCGGGACACTGGAGCAGGAAGTGACTGCTCCAGATCCTATGGCCACCTCTCTTCAGGCCTCTCTAGGAATCGCTAGGTGCGACGGGACTCGAGTCTATGACTGTGGAGATGCTTGCCATTGGACTGGCTTTCTGCACATGGGGAAAGGAACCTCCTCTTGGCTTCGCCCTGTCAGAGGCTGCATCTGTTTACCCAGCGACCCTCCCTCCGATTTCCCTGCAAAGAGCGGCGAAGGAGAAGACAGGATTTGAACCCCTTTCCATCCCAGCTTCAGCCGGTTCTTGTCTCTAAGAGGGATCCTGAGGTTCAGAAGGGGAGAGGGGAAGGCAGCTAGGATGGAGGCAAAATCTATATTCCTCTGTATAGATCTGGTCAGCTACTGTAAACTCTTGGAGGATTGGCTACATTAGGGGTGTGTGGCCTAATATGCAAAGGAGTTCCTGCTACAAAAAGAGCCCTGCCCGCTGGAAAATAACAATCTTTTGTTCCTGTAAAAAGTGTGTGGAGGTTGCAGAGAATCTTCTGGCTGGGCTCACTGGCTTGAGCCGTGTCTTGGAGCCTTTTCCAGACATCGGCTGGGCTGCTCCCTCCCAAGAGAAGAGTTAGTTCTGGGTGGTGTGGCTTGATTTTTGGGTGGGAGGAGGAGGTACTGGCAGTTTTGTGTAGTGGTTAGGAGCACAGACTCTAATCTGGAGGACCGGGTTTGATTACTTTCTTCTCCACATGCAACTGCTGGTGTGACCTCGGATCAGTCACAGTTCTCTCAGAGCTGTTCTCTCAAGAGTTCTCTCTGAGCCCCATCTACCTCACAGGGTCTCTGTTGTGGGGAGAGGAAGGGAAGGAGATTGTAAACTGCTCTGAGACGCCAAGTGAAGTGTGGGGTATAAATCCAGCCTCCTCTTCTTCCCCTTCCCCCCATGTGCATGGGAAGAAGAAGAGAAGAGATTCGATTTATACCCCGCCCTTCACTACCCAAAGGTGTCTCAGAGCTCCTTTCCCTTCCCCTCCCCACAACAGACACCCTGTGAGGTAGGTGGGGCTGAGAGAGCTCTTGACAGAAACTGCTCTTTTTCAAGAACAGCTGTGCCAGAGTTATGGCATGACAGGTGCAAGTGGAGGAGTGGGGAATCAAAACCGGTTCTCCCAGATTAGAGTCCACGCACTTAACCACTACACCAAACTGGAGTCAGGCTTCGAGGTCCGGGGTTCCACTTCTTCCCTGCCCTCAACTTTTAATTGCCATGTTGTTCCAAGAGTATGTCTGAAAAGCTGATGCAGCAATCCTCGGGAAGGTAAGCATGTCTATGTCAAGTCAGAGCCTGACTGGCAGCCCTCCTGAGAATCCTCTGTGAGCTGCACCCACTTTTATTGATCACAGGGCTCAACTAGATGACCTCTGAGGCTCCTGCCAACTCTCTTGTTTCGAACCGTACTGCTGACTGAAGAATCCCCTGCTTGGTTGCTTGGCCAGTAACATATGAAGTGGTATCAGACATTCAAATCTGCTGCAATGGAAACAGCACGGTGTCTGAGCAAGAGAGGGGTATGTGCATGAGATGACATTGTGCACAGCTAAATCAGACTATGGTAGGGTAACGGCGACATCTTGCACTTCTGCTGACCATAAACATTTGCCTTGAATGGTGGATTTTTGTTTTATTTCGAAGGCTGGACTAACAGGGCCACCCCTTGGCCATCACCGTCTGTTAGCCAGCTGCAAAGAGGGAGACGAGTGTCTGTCCATTATTTCACTGTCTTGTGAAATACTTCTCCAGAATGGAATGCAACACCATTTCAGGCATGCGCATTCTTAGAGACCCTGATGGCAGTTTCACATTCCCCCTCTCACAGACCTGGGCCCATGGCTCAGTGACAGAGCATCTGCTTGGCATGCAGGAAGTCCCGTGTTCGATCCCTGGCATTTTCAATCCAGGGATCCTTTTAAGCTGGTGACGTGAAATACATCAACCTGAGACTTGAACAGGAAAACAGATTAGGTATTTTGCTCACTGGGTATTGCACCTGTCCAACGAGGCATGTTCAGCTATTGTGAAGTTCATGGCATCTTTGTTCTATTGGAGGGCTGCGAACCCTCTTGGATCAACTGGGAGTCTACTAGGATCGATATCACCACCTCGGTACATATTGAAAGCAATCCAGGGGGTTCACTGAAACCTGGGAACCAGAACCTAAAAAGGTAAGTCAAACAGAATAGAGGGCCAGCAATAAAAAATTAATGTTTATGATATAGAAAGATACATGCATTTATTAGTAAAGAATTAAAAAACATATTAGGGCCCAATCACACCTCATGTAAAAATGCCAAAATCTTACACACAAGGGCCAATAGACTTGACCTGAAGCGTTTCGGCCTGTATAGGCCTTCTTCAGAGGTCAAACACGATGAGGACCAATTGGCTTATATCATAATACAATACAATCATACAATTATGCAACGTGGATACAAGATGGACCAGGAAAAAAATGTTCCAAAGTGAAACCACTAGGCACAGAAGTATAAATGAGGCCTCCAAAGATGCAATCACATGCCAAATGATATTTCACCGATACTAATTTCTGGTCCATCAGTATCAGCTGAAGGGACTATTTTACTGAGGATGCTTTGGTTAAACCATCATTGGAAGGCTCTTTCTGGACCAGAATGGTAGTTCAGTTGTGTACCTTCCTAATCTGGTCCAAGGAAATCAAAGTACACTATAGAACCAGTGTGGCATAGTAATGTATACATTAAAACATAATTCCAACTTGGTCCTATATTAATTATTGTAATATTTTTGCAATGTCTGTATGATTTTAATCTGAATTGAAGCTACATTAGGGCTTGAAATTGTTTTTTAAAAATATTTTGTAATAAATACATATATTTTTGGATAATTGACGTATGCTTTATATTAATTTATTTAAATATTTGGCCTTTTGATTTGGATTCATTTATCCTTCTAGGCTCTTAATTCATCTTTTGGGGTTAATTTTCTTCTTCTCCTCTTTGTGTTCTTATAATTCAAAGTCAACCACACATGAAAAAGCTGGATGCCTAATATTATACTATGGTTGCTAGCAGGATGTTTCAAGTTATCTTCTTCAGATCAGTCAACGAAATTGCTGAGCAGTCAGGTTAGAACTGATAAAAGTACTTCTTCACCCAAAGAGTGATTAACACATGGAATTCACTGCCACAGGAGGTGGTGGTGGCTATAAGCACGGACAGCTTCAAGAGGGAATTAGGTAAGCATATGGAGCAGAAGTCCATCAGTGGCTTTAGTCACAAGGTATAGATAGGAACTCTCATCAGGCTGGGGAAAGTTATGCTCTTTATTCTTGGTGCTTGGGGGGGGGGCAACAGTGGGAGGGCTCCTAGTGTCCTGGCCCCACTGGTGGACCTCCTGATGGCACCTGGTATTTTGGCCACTGTGTGACAGAGTGTTGGACTAGATGGGCCATTAGCCTGATCCAACATTGGCTTCTCTTATGTTCTTATGTTATTCTTTTATTCAAATATGAAGTGTGCTTCTTTCTTTCTTGCATGAAGCCACCAATAAAGTGAAGAGCTGGACACTTGTTTCTAATAGGCTCAGTCAATGCAAGGACACAGCTGTCATCTCCATCTTCTTAATAACAATATAAAGAAGAAGAGATTGGATTTATACCCTGCCCTTCACTACCCAAAGGTGTCTCAGAGCGGCTTACAATCTCCTTTCCCTTCCACTCCCCAGAACAGACACCCTGTGAGGCAGGTGGGGCTGAGAGAGCTCTTTCAAGGACTCTTCTTGAGAGGGCAGCTGAGAGAACTTGTAACTGACCCAAGGTCATACCAGCAGCTGCAAGTGGAGGAGTGGGGAATCAAACCCTGTTCCCCCAAATTAGATCCATGCTCCTAACCACTACACCAAACTGGAGGCAAGGTTCTCTAGTAGTATTTTGACTTCTGTACTGTACTAAAAACAAAACCATTCCGGAAGTATGCCTTTTGCCAGGAGATGAATGATCTGATAGATGAAAGCTAAGGCTTCTTAAGGTCTGGCCTATATCTAAATCAGAGTCAGCCAGAACAATCAGACTTAGAAGCGTTAAAAAGAATTTTCAGACTCATAAGAACATAAGAGAAGCCATGCTGGATCAGACCAGTGGACCATCCAGTCCAACACTCTGTGTCACACAGTGGCCAACACCCAGGTGATATCAGGAGGTCTACCAGCGGGACTAGAACTCCAGAAGCCCTCCCACTGTGCCCCCCCCCCAGGTACCAGGAATACAGAGCATCACTTGCCCCAGACAGAGTGTTCTGTCCATACCTTGTGGCTAAGAGCTCCATATGTTATCCAATCCCCTCTTGAAGCTGTCTATGCTTTTAGCTGCCACCACTTCCTGCAGCAATGAATTCCATATGTTAATGACTCTTTGGGTGAAGAAGTACTTCCTTTTATCTATTCTAATGAAGAAGTACTTCCTTTTATCTGTTCTAAGAGGAAGAGTCCAAGTTTTCAGGAACCCTAAGAGCTAGCTGCTGCAGCACAGCTGGACTGCACAAATGTCAACACTGGTGATCCAGAAGTTATGGTGGCCATTCTCACGCTGTGCTAAGTGGGTGAGCCACAGCCCTATTGCTTCTAGGGTGGATAGGATCCTGCTTTCACCAGGAAGAAGTGGCATATAAATTATCTAAGTAAATGAATAAATAATAGGAAATTATTTATTCATTTACTTAGATAATTTATATGCCACTTCTTCCTGGTGAAACCAATAGAGAAATAAGAATATGAGTACGGCTAACTGAGACCTGCAGTTATCGCCCATGGAAGGAAAAGGTGGAACACTGAAACTTCCAGAAGGCACACAGAGATTCAAACCTGGTTACCAGCTTCAGCATGATAGTGGGAGTTGCAGTGCCAAAGGTGAGAGGAATCAAAAAGAACCTTTGTTTCCATAGCAAATAGCAGAGGGATTTTCTCTAGCTAATGCTCAGAAGAAGAAAGCCAACATAAAGACCATGTGGGCACAATTAATTCAGGCAGTCAAAGAAAAAAACTCCTTGATCTTTTGGAAATTGATATCTACACTTTCATTCAAGGATACTTCCTGCTTAGACTCCTTAGTTGGCTGATATTTGGGAAGCATACTTCCGGAAGATACATGCAGAGGTCTTTCACGAATCTCCTTCACAGAAGATAGTTGATCGTCCTGAATGGCCCCGTTTCTGTCAATCAAATCATTGATCAATCAACTCAAGAGTGGAAAAGCCCCTGGTACCGATAACCTTCCTCCTGAACTTAAAAAAAATAAAATAACATTGATTGGTGGACCCCTCCTCTGGCCGCGTTATCTATTTACATCAATTCCTCAGGCTGTATCCCAGAGGAGTGGAGACATGCAATAATAATTCCTTTAAAGAAGGGAGGAGGGATGATCCATCCAATTATAGGCCAATCAGCCTGCTCAGCATAATTGGAAAACTTTATGCAGGCCACCTTTTAGACAAATTTAAAAACTGGCTAGATCAAGACAATCTATTGGCAGGCCGGATTCAGGGAGGGAAGATCCATGCTGGAAAACAGTCTGATTACGCAACATTTAATCGACAAATATGCAGCCAATACCACGGTTTCATTGTATGCGGCTTTTATTGACTTAAAGACGGCCTTTGATTTCATTTCTAGGAAAAGACTCTGGGAGAAACAAGAGGCTACAGCGATCAATGGAAGGCTTCTACATTTAATGTGAGTCTTATATTCTAAGGCATCTTTTAAACTCAGGTGCAGTAGGATTGGACACCTTATTAACTCCAGTTTTACACCAGAAGGAGTGAAACAAGGTTGTGTTCTGGCACCACTATTTATTTTTTGTAATAATAGCATGATCAGTAGTCTGAATGACTTTGATTTCCATCCCCCTACTTCAGCCAACGGAAAGACTCCTGCACGCCTATATGCTGACAACATGGTCATTCTTTCTAGAACTCCTGTGGGCCTCAGAAGAGCCTTGCAGGTGTTGAGTCTCTTTTGTAATGAGAACCAGCTGATTATCAAAAAACAAAAATTATGTCTTTTGGGAAGAGACCTAACATTGGGGCCTGGAGTATCAATGGTTGCAGGGTAGAACAGGTTACGAGCTTTAAGTATTTGGGGGCTGACATGACAATCGTCAGGGGCGAGGAATGCCCATCATAAGCATATGGCTGAGATTGGCCAAACATCTGCCCAGGCCATCCTAAAAAAATCCCGTTTTAAAGGAGGGCAATATGTACCTGCTGCCCTCAAACTATATCAAGCCAAAACTCTATCCCAGCTTCTGTATGGGACAATACTAGGTCCACCATCTTCTTGCTAGAAAGAGTCCAATCAAAATTTTTAAGGGCGGTTCTCCATTTGCCGAGTTGCGTTTCTAACGCAAATCTGTCTTTAGAATCGGGCCTGACTAAAATAGAGGCCAGGGTAAGCCTTTCCTCTATCAATTTTTGGCTCAAATTAAATTATTCTCCCCAAGGATCAACTCCTTTAATCCTTCGGGATTGGTTTCAATCCTCCTGGTTAACAGCAGTTCATCATAAATTGACGACTAGGTTTTTCTCCACAGACCCTTCTAGTAATGGGACTGGATCAGGCAATTGCATCTAATCCAATCCAAATACCTTCATTGGCATAAAGATTGCATCCATTAAACAGACGGTGCTAGACACTGAACGGCAATGTGCTATTAGCAGAGTACCAAATTTTTTGGCTCTGGATAACACCAGATATATAGTAGCTCTGGCAGACTATCTTTGTCTCTAGAGTCTCCTACCCATCATAGAGCATTTTCTCTAGCCAGGTAGCATGTACTCCCCTCTGGGGTGTTGGAAAGGAAATATAATAATAATAATAATAATAATAATAATAATAATAATAATAATAATAATAATAATAATAATAATGTCCTATGTTAGAGAGAGTTTGTCCTTGTGTTGCTGGTCTTGTTGAAACAAAGGAACATGTTATGTTCTCCTGCCGGTTCTATGAAGAAATACATGTTAAGTATTGATTGATTGATTTATCATGTTAAGTTTATTCTCACACTGCGCAGAAGGTTCCCGGGCTGCTCTGACTCTGAGTTTTTAAGGAAGCTTCTTATGGGCATCAATTTGCAAACTACAGATTCTTGTGCGAGGTTTTTTGGAGCTGCCTGTAAAATTCACAAAGATATTCTATGCAGTACACCAAATGTATAACAATATTCATTTTAATCTGTAATTATCTATTTTAAATCATTTTATATAGCCCATCTATTTATTTATTGGTTTATTATTGATTAATTTATAATTCTGGCACACTGTGTATTGTGATTTGTGCTGGTCATTGACCGTATTAACCAACTTTCTCTAGCTGATGAGAATTCTTCGATGCATAAGATGAATTCTTAAATGTCACATTCTTAGCATTTATACGGTCTCTCTCCTGTGTGGATTCGTTGATGGGCAATAAGGCCTGGACTCGCAACAAAGGACTTTCCACATTCCAGGCATTTATATGGTTTCTCCCCTTGGTGGACACGTCGATGGGTAGTCAGCTCTGTATTCCGAGCAAAGCTCTTTCCACACTCCAAGCATTTATATGGTTTCTCCCCTGTGTGGATTCGTTGATGGACTATAAGGCCTGGACTCGCAACAAAGGTCTTCCCACATTCCAGGCATTTATATGGTTTCTCCCCTTGGTGGACACGTCGATGGGTAGTCAGCTCTGTATTCCGAGCAAAGCTCTTTCCACACTCCAAGCATTTATATGGTTTCTCTGCAGTGTGGATACGTCGATGAGCAGTAAGATTACCTCTCTGAGCAAAGCTCTTTCCACACTCCAAACATTTATATGGTCTCTCCCCAGTATGGGTTCGCCGATGGTCTGTAAGGGCTATACTCCTAGCAAAGCTCTTTCCACACTCCAAGCATGTATATGGTTTCTCCCCAGTGTGTATTCGTTGATGAGCAGTAAGGGTGTTGCTCCGAGAAAAACTCCTCCCACACTGAAAGCATTTATGTGGTTTGTCCCCTGTATGTATTGCTTGGTGTTGCATAAGATGTGCCTTCTGAACAAAGCTCTTTCCACACTCCATACATTTATGTGGTTTCTCCCCAGTGTGGATTCTCCAGTGTGTATCAAATACCGATTGATAAGTGAATGTTTTTCCACACACAGGACAATCGATTCTTCCATGGTATAGCAGGATCTCCTGGGATTCATTCCTCCTCTTTTGTTTCATTTCGGCGTCTCCTCTCTGCTTATTTCTTTCCAATGAGAGCTGCTGTAGTTCTCCCTCCAACTCGTTCTGGGGACCATTTGCATCTGGAATAAAGAACAAAGACTGGTAAGACCTCAAAGCAAAATCAGAATCAGGGACAGAAGGCCCTAACAACAGAACAGACATCACTTGAAGGGGAGACAAATCCTGCCATGTATTAATTGGCTTTTGATCCTTCCTTGGAGGGAAGTTTCATCACAGACAAGGTGACTCAGTGAAATCTCTCCAAAGGCTAGTTGCCAGCAAGGTAATCCCAGAAGGGCTTGAAGCTCAACATCAAAAAAACTAAGATCATGGCATCCGGCCCCATCACTCCGTGGCAAATAGAAGGGGAAGTCGTGGAAGTAGTGACAGACTTCACGTTCCTGGGATCCCAGATCACCGCAGACTGTGACAGCAGCCATGAAATTAAAAGACGCCTGCTCCTTGGGAGGAAAGCGATGGCGAACCTCAACAGCATGATAAAAAGTAGAGACATCACCCTGCCAACAAAAGTCTGCATGGTCAAAGCAATGGTATTCCCAGTAGTCATGTATGGCTGCGAGAGTTGGACTATAAGGAAGGCCGAGCGTCGAAGAATAGATTCTTTTAAACTATGGTGCTGGAGAAGACTCTTGAGAGTCCCTTGGACTGCAAGAAGATCAAATCAGTCAATCCTAAAAGAAATCAACCCTGGCTGTTCCCTGGAAGGCCAGATAATGAAACTGAAGCTCAAATGCTTTGGCAACCAAATGAGAAGGGAGCACTCACTGGAGAAGACCCTGATGCTGGGAAAGATTGAAGGTCAAAGAAGACGGGGACGGCAAAGGATGAGATGGTTAGACAGTGTCATAGATGCAACGAACATGAAATTGAGCAAACTTCAGAGGATGGCGGAAGACCGGAAGGCCTGGCGTGATCTGGCCCATGGGGTCGTGAAGAGTCGGACTCGACTGTGCAACTGAACAACAACAACAATTCCAGAAGGAGGCTTTCTCCTCTCCTTTGAACCTTCCAGGGACTCTAGCTGACCACTGTGGGAAACAGGAGGCTGGACGAGATGGCCTCTGTCAAACCTCTTCCTGTATTTGAACACAGGACTGACCTGCATTCACTGAATGGCACCAGAATTACAGAGACCCAAGCTGAGCTCCCAACTTGCACAGCACACTGGAGCGATCTTGGACTAATCACTCTTCCCCAGCATTTTCTGCTATCCAAGGGGTGTTGAAAGGGCCTCACAAACACAGGGCGGGACAATAGGTGAGAATTCACAGAAGACGACAAATAAAGGGAGCGCCTGCTGCCCCTCAAGATTCCCCTTCCCTCGGACTCATAATATCCAAGGCCCAATCACCTCTCTGCGAAGAACCACTTCCAGTCAGAAGAGACATTACTGGTGCAGATGGACCAATTGCAGCAGCTTCAGTGATGGTGGTTCTTATTTTGAAGGCCCCTAAGTGGGGGCCAAATTGAGGATCTGCCTTTTGGAATATCATCCTCCCCCCCCTCACTAAGCCCCACTCTCTGTGCCCCTGTATACAGAGGTAGTTCAAGACAAGAGATGGGGCATTTTCCACAGTGGGTCTGTCTGTGGAATACCCTTCCGCCCACCCCTAAAGTTTGGTGGAAGCCTACTTCACTTATCTTTTCATCACTAGGCCCAATCACTTATTTTCAACCAGGCTTTTTAACTAAGAGTTGCTTTCTCTACCCTGAGGAGACTCAAAGCGGCTTACAGTTACTTTCCCTTCCTCTCCCCAAACCTTGTGGGGTAGGTGGGGCTGAGAGAGTTCTGAGAGAACTGTGACTGGCCCAAGGTCACCCAGCAGGCATCATATGGAGGAAGACTGGGGAATCAAACTCGGTGCATATTAGAATCCGCTGCTCTTTACCACTACACCACGCTGGTGATTCTTAATCTGTTTTGTTCCCGGGGACTGTTCTCTGGATATTTTTGAGGCACTCAGTGGCTGTTTTAGGCTGTTCTAATGCCCCTGGCTTGCTTAAACTTCAGTACTAATGACTGATTCTATGTTTAAGGTTTCATAGTATTGCTGATCTTTGTGAGCTCCCTCAAAAACTGATCCAGAGAGGCGAATAAATAAATACATAAGTTTTAAATACCAACTGCTGTGTGTACAGAAATTTTCCACAGGATTAGACACCATTTAGCCTGCATTTTGTTTTGTGTTCTGACCTCTCTTTCCTATTTGAGAAAGCTTTCTTTGGTAGTTGAAGCTGTTTCCTCTTCAGAAATTTCACAATCCTCCAGTGGCTAAAAGTCAGCAAAAGAGGTCCTATCCAGATACACCCCAGAAAAGATCCACAAATAGGTACATACCAGCCAATCTCATTCTTTCTTCTTGGTCCTGGAAAAACGGATTTCTGTTTCCTTGCAGGGAAGAAGTAGAACCAGGTTTGGGAACCAGAAGTCCTTCTTTGGGGGAAAGAAACAGACCAGTTACTTCATGGACGGTTAGATAACTACTGTTAAAACTTTGTTCTTGTTTTCTTGTAGGGTTATTATCCATTCTGTTGAATCAGATTGTTTTATCTAGCCCAGTGGTGGCGAACCTCTGCCACGGTTGCCAGAGGTGGCACTCAGAGCCCTCTCTGTGGGCACGCGTGCCATCGCCCCAGCCAGGCCCAGACCATCATTAAAGTGTCGAATTCTCTGCCAAATAATTTTAAATAAATGAAAGCATTTGGGATTGCTTTCCTTACTTTGTTTGGATCATCTTAAGTTAATGTATGGGTTGTTTTTTCTAAAGTAAAACCTCAGTGTTCAGGTTAAATTGCCGTGTTGGCACTTTGCGAAAAATAAGTGGGTTTTGGGTCGCAGTTTGGGCACTCAGTCTCTAAAAGGTTCGCCATCACTGATCTTGCCTGTGTCTTTCCACCTCCAGCTTAGCTGTAAACCTGGCAAGGGCCACCAATACAGGGTTGATATTTGGAGTCGGAAGGGGTAATTCTGATTTGAACCCCCTAGACCAGAGCTATGACAGCCGAGGAGTCTCTGGGGTGGCTATGAGCAGCTGTCAGATAAGGGAGCATGTGGAGGCAGGAAGGCTGTCTGATGTTCTGGATGACTCTGGTTGGGCCTGATTCATAGACAGGCGTGCTCTTTAGAGGCCCAAGAATTCTAGTCAGTCACCAGTGTGAGATCTATCCTGTGGGGTTCCAGAGGGTGCAGTTCAATCCCCCATGCTTTCCAATCTCTAAGCAAAGCCCTTGGGACAAATCATTAATAGTTTGGGGGTTGGTTGCCATCCACAAGCTGATGATACCCAGCTCTATATATCCTTATCCACGTCTGGTCATGCCATAGAGGTCCTGAATGGCTACCTGGCTGCTATGGTTAATTAGCTAAGAGTGAACAAATTCAGGGCTTTTTTGGTAGAAAAAGCCCAGCAGGAACTCATTTGCATAATAGGCCACACCCCACAGCAGAAACACATTAGCATATTAGGCCACACCCCTGACAGCACAGCTCATTGGCATATTAGGACACACACCCCATGTTACCAGAAGTGTGCTCACCCAGCCACACCCACCTTTTGCTTCTTATTCTGTTTACCTTGTTTGTTGTCCAAACCCAGGGTTTTTTTGTAGCAGGAACTCCTTTGCATGTTAGGCCACACACCCCTAATGTAGCCAATCCTAATGAGTTTCTGCTGTTGGGTGTGGCCTATTATGCTAATACGTTCCTGCTGGGTGTGGCCAACTTGGAAGCCAGCCGGAACTCCATTCCTGTGCGTTCCTGCCCAAAAATAACCCTGAACAAATTGAAACAAAACCCTGAAGAGAAGAAGAGGAGGAGACTGGATTTATATCCTATCCTTCACTGGGAGCCTCAGTGCGGTTTACAAACTCTTTTCCTTTCCTCTCCCCACAACAGAGGTAGGTGGGGCTGAGAGAGCTCTTTCAAGCATAGATCTGACAGAGCTATGGTTTGCCCAAGGTCATCCAGCAGCTGCAAGTGGAGGAGTGGGGAATCAAACCCGGTTCTCCCAGATTTAGAGTCCGCACACTCAACCACTACACCAAACTGGCTCTCACACCAGTTTGACAGGAGTAACGCTGGTTGGGAAGGTGGAGATCTTGAAGGACATTGTGCTCCCCATTTTTGACAGCTTTCAGCTGACCCTTGCTGACTCAATGATAAGCCTTGGGGGGTTACACTAGATCCAATTTTATAGCTGGAGCAGCAAGTTAATGCAGCTTCAAAAAAAAAAAAAGCTTTCTTCTAACTCAGGCTAGCATATAAGGTAGCCCCCTTACCTCGATACAGCTGATTTGGCTACCTGGATCCATGCCATGATAACATTGAGACTAGAATACTGTAATGCACTGTACATTGGTCTCCCCTGAGAATCAGCTTGGAAATTACAGTTGGTGCAGAACACCATGGCTCGACTATTAGTGGGAGCTAGATGGAGCACGCATATTACTCTCATTCTGCAGACATTCTATTGGGTGCCCATTAGTTACCAAGCTCAGTTTAAGATATTTCTGATCACATTCAAAGCCCTTCATGGCCATTGTCCCTCATATCTGCGGGATCACACTCTCCTGGCTTTCTGCAAATTATGCAAAACTGAATTATTCAATAGGGATTTTCTACACAGGTAATAGAGTTGCAATATACATAATGATCCACGAAGTTCCCTTCCTCTCCCCAAGATCAAAATAGATCAAGATGGGTGGCCATGTTAGTCTGCCTGTAGCAGCAGAAAAGAGCAAGAGTCCAGTAGCACCTGCAAGACTAACAAAATTTGTGGCAGGGCAGCAGCTTTTGTGAGTCACTGCTTTTCTTGAGTTATCTGAAGTGAGCTGTGACTCACAAAAGCTCATACCCTGCCACAAATTTTAAGGTGCTACTGGACTTTTGCTCTTTTCTATTGATAAGGGGCTATGATCTATACTACAGTGTGTAGCTTACTGTAAATAGGATCCTACTATGTAACTTTTTTGCACCATTTAATGTATCATGTTACTCATTATGCTTTGCTTCAGTCCTGTCCTTTAGATTTGGTTGTTTCCAGACTTCTACATTGCATTGATTATTGAATGTCTCATTCTATGATTGTATTGACTCACTTTGTGTAATCCACTATGAGTCCCTCTGAGAAAGGCAGCCAATAACCTAATGTAAATAAATAATACTAGTAGATAATCTTTGCTTCCATTTCCCCCTTTATTTCAACATAACTATGTGCAACTTTTAACACTAATTCAAAAGAAACTTACACCATCCATTACTGCTACGCAGAAAATGAAAGGACAACAATTACATGACTCTATTGAAGTATCTTACCCAAAGATAAGCAGGTCACAAAGCAAGGGGCCCCTAAAATGAAGCTCCCGATCAATTCAGGTCCCCATATGAATACTCATAAAAAATCATCTAATAGTCCCATTCGATGAAGGCACACATACTTGGCTAACATATTATCTTATAACTTTGACCACCATACAAAGATATTTATACCTGAGTACCTTCTGATCTGCGATTTGCATTTGTATCTTCTGGACGAAATTTGGGAGGCATACAATAGAAACACTACTCAACGCATATGCCTTTTGATTAGGACATAAGGCTATATTACAAGAGGTCTCAGATCTTTAAGCCTTGTGCCATTAGAACCCCCCCCCCCCTTTTCATCCTGCATTGGTCTATTAATAGTTACAAGTTGTATCATAAGCCGGTAAGTATACAATATGTTTGACCTCTGAAGAAGGCCTTTTAGGGCAGAAACACATAGGGTCACATTCAGTGTTCCCTCTAAGCTGAGTTGGTGTGAGCTAGCTCACAGTTTTTTAGCCTCTGGCTCACAGATTTTTGTCTTAGCTCAGGAAGGATGGCTCCAGAGCAAACTAATTTATGCAGTGACCAAATCACTGACTCACAAATTTAATGCCACTAGCTCACAAAGTAGAATTCTTGCTCACAAGACTCTGCAGCTTAGAGGGAGCCTTGGTCACATTGGCTTCCACTAGTGTTTTATGTATTTTAATTCGGTTCTTGATTCCAATATTTCTTTCCCTCTTTTGTTTCTTTTGTAGTTTTTAGAATGTCAGACTAGGATCAATGAGATCCATATCTTCACTCTGCCGTAGAAGGCTGCTGAGTACCATGCGTTAGCCACACACACTCAGCCAAACTTTCCTCACTGGGTTGTCGCGTGTATGAACTGCAGGAAAGTAGAACAATACAAGAATTGTAGGAACCCTGGGAGAAAAGGCAGGTGTTCATTAACGATGTTCATTATATATAAAATTTAGGATACAAGTTGGGGGAAGAGGATGATCACTGCTGCTGCTGCTTCATTCTCTCATCAAGAGGCAGTATTGCTCCTTAACAGGTGAAATTATCATTAAATATGGTGGGAACACAGCTCATTCCATAATGCTCTCCCCTGTGTGGATTCATTGCTGAGCAGTTAGGATGTCACTCTAAGCAGAGCTCTTTCCTTAAGTGGTGAAGGTATCCCTAGATATGGTGATAGTTCAGAAATCTGTGAAACCTCTCCATAACACATCCCATTTTATAATAAACTAATCAAGTGAAATCAATTCAACAGCTGTACAGTATGGGCCTGATTCAGCACAAAAGCTCTAGACGCTGAGTGAAAATTTCTATACCTTCCCCTTCTTCTGCATCCTTTGACAGGATGCATGGTTGCTCCCTGTGTGGACTTCATGATGTTTTTCCTGCACTGGCGACATTTGTATGGCATGGTCTCTCTCCCGTACAAATTCTTTGATGAATAACAAGATGACTTTTAGATGTAACTTCACCCCACACTCCTAGCATTTATATGGTCTGATTCCTGTGTGGATTTGTCAATGGACAATAAGGTATGAATTCTGGGCAAACCTCTTTCCACACTCCAAGTGTTTATGTAGTTTCTCTCCTGTATGGATGCATTGATGGACAGTAAATCCTGGAATACCAACAAAGATTTCTCCCCTGTGCAGATGTGTTGATGGCTTGTAAGCTCTGTACTCTGAGCAAAGCTTACACTCTGAGCATTTATATGGTTTCTCTGCAGTGTGGATATGTTGGTGGTCAGTAAGATTACTTCTCAGAGCAACTTCTCTGTCCACACTCCTAACACTTATATGGTTTCTCTCCTGTGTGGATATGTTGATCGACAGTAAGGCCATCACACCACACAAAACACTTGCCACATTCTAAACATTTATAGGGTTTCTCCCATATGAATTCGTTGATGGGCAATAAAGCCAGCATTGTGGGGAAACCTCTTCCCACGCTCCAAGCATTTATATGGTTTCTCCCATGTGGATTCATTGATGGGAAGTAAGGCTGAAACTATGAGAAAAGCTCTTTCCACACTCCAGACATTTATATGGTTTCTCCCCTGTGTGGGTACATTGATGGGCAGTAAGGGTATTACTCCAAACAAAGCTCTTTCCACACTCCAAGCATTTATATGGCTTCTCCCCTGTGTGGATTCGTTCATGAGTAGTAAGACTGTGACACCGAACAAAGCTCATTCCACACTGCAAGCATCTATATGGCCTCTCCTGTGTGGATTCGTTGATGAGCAGTTAAGATGTCACTCCGAGCAAAGCTCTTTCCGCACTCCAAGCATTTATGAGGCTTCTCCACGTGGAGACATCACTGGTCAGTAAACTCTGTACACTGAGCAAAGCTCTTTCTGTACTCCAAGCATTTATATGGTTTCTCCCCTATATGGATTAGTTGAGGAACAGTAAGTTTTTCAGTCTGATCAAACCTCTTCCCACATTCCAAACATTTATGAGGTTTCCCCTCTATATGGACTCTTTGGTGTTCTATAAGAAATGCCTTCTGAACAAAGCTTTTTTCACACTCCAAACATTGGCTCCGGTCACACGGGCAGGAAAATGCGGGGGGGGAAGCGTGGCTGTTTGCCCTGGGGCAAACTAACGCACGGTTAAGCGATCAGACCTCCCGTGGAGGTCCCGTGGGTAGGGAGAGGTGCCGATCACAGGACAATCCTGCGCGCAGGAAAAAAGTGGCGCGGTGCGGCAAACTGGCGGTTTTTTGTGTGTATACCAAAAACTGTGCATGCTCCGTTGGGTGCTTGTGCACATCCACGGAGACTTGGGGGGGAAAAACCTTTTTTGCAAGGGGACATGGGCGGGCGCCGGATGCCACCGGAAACGCAATCAGATGCCCGCCCTTGCCCCGTGGTTTCCGGAAACTAGTACCTCCGAGGTACTAGTTTTTTGCTGCGTGTCTTCGGCGGGAAGCCTCGGTTGAGCCATGGGAGCGCTACGCTTCCCAGATGTGCCGGTGAGATCGCGCCCGGAAAATCCACCTGTCTTCCGTCTCTCTAGCATGGCTAATGTTCCGTGTGACCGCAGCCATTTATATGGTTTCCCCTCTGTGTGGATTCGTCAATGAGCAATAGTGGTATTATGTGAAACAAAGCATTTTCCACACTTCAAACATTCATATGGTTTCTCACCTGTGTGAATTCGTTGATGAATATTAAGTGTGCCACTCCGTGCGTAGCGCTTTCCACACACCAAGCAATTATATGGTTTCTCCCCAGTGTGTGTCCGCTGATGGACAGTAAGGTGGGCACTCTGAGCAAAGCCCTTTCCACATTCCAAGCATTTATATGGTTTCTCCCCTGTGTGGATTCTCCAGTGTATATCAAACACTTTTTGATAAATGAATGTTTTTCCACACACAGGGCAATTGATCCATCTCTGATTTTTTCCTTCCAATGGGACCTGCTGTGGTTCCCCCTCAGACTTGTTCTTGGGACCATCTGCCTCTGGAATATAGAGAGAAGACTGGTAAAGCCTTACAAAGGAAAGAAGGTTGTTAACTGCTCTTGATAACAATAGAATACAGATAATTTGAAGGGGAGACAAATCCTGCCACGTATTAATTGGCCACTGATTCTTTCTTGGAAGTTAATTCCATCAAAGACAAGGTGAATCAGTGGAATGGCAATGTTGGGAGGCAATAGTAGGGGGGCATTGGCTCTGCTCCTCTGTTTGTGACCCTTCCAAGGACTGTAGTTGTCCCCTGTGGGAAATAGAAGGATGGACTCCCCCTCACTGGCAGTCTTTAAGCAGCGACTGGACAAACACTTGTCAGGGATGCTCTAGGCTGATCCCGCACTGAGCAGCGGGTTGGACTAGATGGCCTGTTATGGCCCCTTCCAACATTGTGATTCTATAACTAGATCGCCTAGATGGCAGAGGTCTTCCTTCTTTTTACCCCAGAACAGAACGGCCTTCACTGGACAGCCAATTTGGAGCAGAGGTTTACACCTGAACTATGAACACCCAAGCTGAGGTCCCAACATGTACAGCACACTGAGTCATCTTGGGCCCCTCATGCTTTCCGAGTGATTTTTGCCTCACTAGGTCATTGTGCAGGTAAATGGGATCCTCACGGAAATGCTTCTTGCACTGCTTAAAAGGAGGGCAGGATAACAGGCGAGAACCCACAGAAGACCACAAATAACAGGAGGACCTGTTGCCTCCCAACAGATCCCTTGCCCTGGTTTCATCACATCCCAGGTCCAATCCCCTCTCTCCAAAGCAGCATGGTCAATCAGAAGACATATTACGGGTCTAGATGGACCAACAGAAGATGCTTCAGTGATGGAGGTTCCTACTTTTAAGGCCCTAAATGGGACCAGACTGAGGATCTGCCTTCCTTGCCTCCCAGTAAATTATACCACCTACACTCTGTGCCTCATTTACAGAGGTAGGTGGTCACAAGAGATATGGCATTTTCAGTAGTGGCTTTTTGTACCTTATTATCTCTCGTCATTAGGCCCAAACATTTGTTTTCAACCATGCTTTTAACAAATAGGTTTGATCTTTTTAGCTGTTCTGTGGTCTATTTCTCTCCTGAGGACTATTCTCTGGATATTTTGGGGGCTACTCAGTGGCCATTTTGTACCACTGCTTTACCCCCGGATTCTTTAAACTCAAATACTGATACTTTATGTAGTATTTAAGGTTTGACAGAGTTGTTTCTATCTGTGAGCTGCCTTTGAGAACTCTCTGGAGAGATAAATATTGAATACAAGTATGTAGTGTATAGAAACTTTCTCCAAGATTAGCCACCAATAAGCCCACATTTTATTCCCTGTTCTAAGATCTCATATGTAGGAAAGCTTTCCTAACTATTCTCAGTGGTTTCCTCTTCAGAAATCTCTCAGTTCTCCAGTGGCTGAAGATTAGCAAAAGAGGTCCTGTCCAATGCTCCCTCTAAGCTGTGGAGTCTTGTGAGCAAAAATGCTACTTTGTGAGCTACTGGCATTAAAGTTGCGAGCGAGCGATTTGGCTACTGCATAAATTAGTTTGCTCTGGAGCCATCCTTCCTGAGCTAAGACAAAAATGTGTGCGACGGAGGCTAAAAAACTGTGAGCTAGCTCACACAAACTTGGCTTAGAGGGAACACTGGTCCTATCCAATGTTCCCTCTAAGCTGTGGAGTCTTGTAAGCAAAAATTCTATTTTGTGAGCGACTGGCATGAAAGTTGTGAGCGAGCGATTTGGCTGCTGCATAAATCAGTTCCCTCTGGAGCCATCCTTCCTGAGCTCAGACAAAAAAGTGTGAGCTGGAAGCTAAAAAATGATGAGCTAGCTCACACTAACTCAGCTTAGAGGGAACACTGGTCCTATCCAGACACACCAGAAAAGATCCACAAATACCTGCTGATCTCTCTGTTTCTTCTTGGTCCTGGAAAAATGGATTTCTGTTTCCTTGCAGGGTGGAAATAGAATCAGACGTGGGAACCAGAAGTCCTTCTTTGGGGGAAAGAAACAGACCAGTTACTTCATGGGAGATTAGAGAGCTCTTGCTTGGATCCGGAAGTATCCATCTGCTGATCCTGATGGTGGCTCAAAGAGAACAAGAAGGGAGGTGGGAACTCTCACACAGGTAAGGGAAGCCCGGGCCCAGACAGAGCCACCAAGATACAGTACCCTAGCTGCCTCCAATGGCAAGCAGGATCCGACATCCCAGTCTGACACAATCTAATGCAGCTCTGACGAAGAGCTGCTGTCTAAGGACTCCCCTCCCTTTGAAGAGACCCCACAGTCCTCCCAGGATGGGGGAAAAAACATGATGATAGATCCAGAGAAGCTGAACTCCTACTAACAATCCGAACACTTAGAAATCTTGTTCTTTTTATGACACTTTTTAATCCTGTCCTTCCTTGAAGGGGGCTCAAAACAGCAATTTCGTACGGCCTAGCACCATTCTGACAGGATCTGCTCCTTTGGCATTAATGCAGTTCGTTAGGAAAACAACCATGATGTGATAACGAAGTCGTGGTTTAAACAATTTGGGGAAAAATATTTTTAATGTGTCCAGTGTATAACAAGTCATTAAAGTTGGGTTTTTTTAAGCAAAATGGTCTCAAATATATCTTATGACGGTGCAGCACTCATTGGACCGTTTCACTTAAAAGTTTTATCAGATTAGACCTTTCACTTGCTTCAAAGGAAACAACTTTAACAACTTTGTTATACACTGGACACATCAAAAATATATTTTTTCAGATTGTTTAAACCACGACTTCGTTATCACATCATGGTTGTTTCCTAATGAACTACAGTCTGTCCCGTGAGCTCTCCTTTAATAGCAGCCTGACAAGACAGGAATTCATTAAGCAGAGCTCTTCATGACAAAAACCAAAACGTCACCTGCTAAAATCCTGACAAGGGAGGAACCGTTGTCATAATGGACAAGTCAAACTATACACGAGAAGCTGAGCAACAACTCTCAAACACCAGTTTTTACATGAGAAGAGAAGAGAAGAGATTGGATTTATACCGCACCCTTCACTTGGAGTCTCAGAGCGGCTTACAAACTCCTTTCCCTTCCCCTCCCCACAACAGACACCCTGTGAGGTGGGCGGGGCTGAGAGAGCTCTGACACAAACTGCTCTTTTTCAAGGACAGCTGTGCCAGAGCTTGTGACTGACCCAAGGTCACATCAGCAGGTGCAAGTGGAGGAGTGGGGAATCAAACCCGGTCCTCCCAGATTAGAGTCCGCACACTTAACCACTACACCAAACTCATGCTGCTCTACTCAGACCCCACACATGAATACCAGCGAGAACTCAACACAATCATGAAGAAAAGTCCCAACAAACATACAGGAACCAATTTATATGCATATACCCCAAAAACCTCAATTGGGCATTTTCTTCCTCCTGCCAAAGAGACAGAAACCTGGCAACCCTGGACGTCCCAGTGTCTCGAGCACAGGCACCGTCACTGTAGGAGTATCAGGATATAGGGACTCCATCCTGAGACCATACGTCATTAATACACCCAGCTATGCCTGTAGTACCACAGACTTCCTGAGGAAACGGCAGTCCATTGACCATCTCCCAGAAAACAGCATTCTAGCCACCATGGATGTTGAGACTCTGTACACTAACGTCCCCCATCAGGATGGACTACAAGCCATTAGAAACATCATCCCTGACAACACCACAGCAGACCTTGCCCCTGAACTTTGCATGTTTGATTCTCACCCAGAACTACTTCAGGTTTGGTAAGAATTCATACCTCCAAATCAGTGGCACAGCCACGGGCCCCTGCGTGGCTCCACAGTATGCCAACATTTTCATGGCGGATCTAGAACAGTGTTTTCTGAACTCCTGCCCATTGGCACCTCTCCTTTAGTTGACATTCATTGATGATGTTTTTCTTGTCTGCACCCACGGCAAAGAAACCCTCTAGAGTTTTCACCAGGCTTTCCATAACTTCTGCCCCACCATCAAACAATGAATTACTCTACACCAGGGCTATTTTTGGGCAGGAACGCACAGGAACGGAGTTCCAGCTGGCTCCCGAGTTGGCCACGCCCAGCAGGAACTCATTAGCATAATAGGCCACACCCAACAGCAGAAACTCATTCGGGTTGGCTACATTAGGGTTGTGTGGCCTAACAAGCAAAGGGTTCCTGCTACAAAAAAGCCCTGGGTTTGGACAACAAACAAGGTAAACAGAATAAGAAGCAAAAGGTGCGTGTGGCTGGATGACCACACTTCTGTGGCCTAATACGCTAATGAGCTGCTCTGTCATGGGTGTGGCCTAATATGCTAATGTGTTTCTGCTGTTGGGTGTGGCCTGTTATGCTAATGAGTTCCTGCTCAGCTTTTTCTACAAAAAAAGCCCTGCTTTGCACAAGAAATAAATTTCCTGGACACCACAGTACGGACACACGAGGGACACATGAGTACCACTTTATACCAGAAACCAACAGACTGGCAAACATATCTACATACTTCGAGCTACCACCCCATCTTACATCAAACAAACCATCGTGTATATACAAGCCCTACGCTTTGCTACGAACCCAAAGAAAATGACAACAGAACACCATTGGTGGTCACCTACAGCTCAGAACTCAAACCAGTTCAACACATTATTAATGACCTACAACCCATGCTGGATAGTGACACTTCCTTCACACAGGCACTGGGGGGCGACCTGTTCTTGCTTACAGGCAGCCTGCTAACCTAAAACAACTTCTCGTCCACAATGATAAACTACTTAACAGTAACACAGACTCTGGTACCAAGGCCTGCAACAAACCAAGATGCCAACTTAGCTCTCATATAGATCCTAGCAACACCGTCAGTGGACCCAGCAACATCAGCCATACCATCTCAGGTTCTTTCTCCTGCTCATCCTCTAACGTGATTTATGCCATCATGTGTCAGCAATGGCCTTCCACCCACTACATAGGACAGACAGGCCAGTCCCTTTGACAAAGAATTAATGGACACAAACCTGACACCAGAAACCACAATATTCAAAAACCAGTGAGGAAACATTTTAACCTTCCAGGACATTCAGTTGCTGACCTAAAAGTAGCAGTTATCTTACAAAGGGATTTCAAGGGCAGAATAGAGAGACTGCTGAATTGCAACGGATAGCGAAGTTCAAGACAATGTATCCACCTGGACTGAATAGAGACCTAGGTTTCCAATCTCAGTACCAATGCTGATTTCTCCATGCCTCTCTGCATATCACACCTTCTATTTTCATTTGCCTGCTAATGTCCTTTGGCATCTGAAATCACTCGACTTTCCAATATATAGGACAGATGGACTCAGATTCTATCTATATCTGAAGAAGTGAGCAGTGACTCATGAAAGCTCATACCCTGCCACAATTTTTGTTAGTCTTTAAGGTGCTACTGTACTCTTTTTTACCGCTAAAATCCTGTCTTTCATGGTTTGTTTCTCAGGGCTCTGCCACCTTGTTTCCCTGCATCAGACCAAGCCATGCCTCACAATGCATTGGTGTTAAGTACAATGAACACAGTAGAATGACCCCAGTTCATCCTTTCTGCCCCTTTTCCCTCATACAACAGTTATCCCCCTCATGTCCAATGGCAGATTGTATGGTTCTTAAACGCCTTCTTGTGCATTGAGGGTCCTAGATAAATATAAATATTAATATTTTGGCACTTGAAAAGAGAGGAGGGGAGAGCCCCTTGCTGCAGGCCCGCACAGAATCAGGGCCTCACGGCACTGTAAAATCGCGAGTGTGGCATCATTGTTAGTTTGGCTCTGAGAGTCTCTGCTGGAAGATCTCTATCAGAGTCCTTTTCTAGAACAACTTATTTCTGCCTTCAGTCATCTGTGAATCGAAGGAAAGGAGAGCCTTACCCAGAGAGGCCACATTCCGGTGATTGTCCTCCATGACTTCCTGGTGAAGGTTTCTTTGGTCTGAATCCAGCAGGGCCCACTCCTCCTCCGTGAAATGAACATACACTTCCTCAAAGTTCACCAGATCCTGAAGAGTGACAAAAGGAACCCCTCTATCCTCACAGGTAATGTAAGAATTCTTCCCCTTCTAAGGGCAATCCAACAGGACTATAATTAGATGTTTGCTTTCATGATTCAAACCTCCATCAGACATTTTCATTGCCTATCAAGGGAGCACCCCAGACAGCAGCCAAGGGGGAGAGAGAGAGAAGAAGAGGAGTTGATTTTATACCCCGCTTTTCTCTACAGTTGTCTTCCCTTCCTCTCCCTACAACCATCATCTTGTGATGTAGGTGGGGTTGAGAGAATTCTGAGAGAACTGGGACTGTCCCAAGGTCATCCAGCGGGCTTCATGTGGAGGAAGAGTGGGGGAATCAAACCCGGCTCTTCAGACGAGAGTCTGCAGCTTTTGACCCCTACACCACACTGGACTGGCTCTCACCATTCTAGGGAGGGGTGGGGGGAGGTCATGATCCGCAGTTCCACACTTACCCGATCAGCCTGCACAAAACCTCCTTCCTTTCTGTCACAAAGAGATGGCAAAAAATGTATTGCGGGTTTCATGGCTCTACCTGTGAAGGATGGAAAGATATTTGGAAGGTATTCTATCATTTCCATGTGTTCAGCATTTCTGTTCCTTGGGGGGGGGGGATGTCCCTACACTGGCTGATCAGGGCTATTTTTGGGCAGGAACGCACAGGAATGGAGTCCCGGCTGGCTTCCAAGTTGGCCACGCCCAGCAGGAACTCATTAGCATAATAGGCCACACCCAGCATCAGAAACTCATTAGGATTGGCTACATTAGGGGTGTGTGGCCTAACATGCAAAGGAGTTCCTGCTACAAAAAAAGCCCTGGGTTTTGACCACAAACAAGGTAAACAGAATAAGAAGCAAAAGGTGGGTGTGGCTGGATGAGCAAACTTCTGGTAACATGGGGGTGCGGCCTAAAATGCCAATGAGCTGTGCTGTCAGGGGTGTGGCCTAATATGCTAATGAGTTCCTGCTGGGCTTTTTCTACAAAAAAAGCCCTGTGATCATAGCTCAAGGTGCTCATTCAGGTGTGGAGTGGCTCATTCAAACAAATTTTTAAACCAAGAGGCTGAACTGTCTCTCCCACACAGGACCACAGCTTTCAAGCAGGCTGCAGAAAGACTCTCAAGTGGGAATGACACCCCGTTTGATCTTACCAGGAAAGGTTGCTCCGGGGTAATGCTCCTGCGAGCTCTCCTCCTGCAACTGAAACAGAATTGGGGAATCTCAGAAAGAGGAGACTGATGAGAAAAGGAACAGGAAACAGGCTGGGGAGGATAACCTGTGGGGATTTTGAGGGTGTCCTTGTTCATAATCTGCTGCAACCACCTGCTACCATCGATCACGGTCTTCTGTTTTTGAGGACTCAGAATGATAGCCCACCTGGCTTAACCGAGGTAAGGTCATTACCATCTGGAATCCCTTATGGCAGGGGTGTCGAACTCATTTGTTATGAGGGCCGGATCTGACATAAATGAGACCTTGTTGGGCCGAGCCATGTGTGTCATAAAATGTAATGCCAGGTAGCGGAGATATAATAAACTTTATAAATGGACACGAACACAAAGAGGGTTTTTTTAACTTAAAATAAAAACATTCTTAAAACATTAGCACTCTTGCAATATTTTGTTTACTTAACAGTGTCTGATAACTGACACCTCTTGCTCTGAATTATTGCATCAAAATGTCTGTGCTGTTGCTATCTCGAGCATGCTGTTCAGGTGTGTATCTGTAAGCTGCAAGCCTACGATGACGCAGCAGCAGCACAACTGGAAAAAGAAGCAGAAGACAGCCAGTTCCACTGTGGGCCTGATAGAAGTCCCCCGGGGGCCTGATCCGGCCCCCAGGCCGCATGTTTGGCACCCCTGCCTTATGGGATTTAGCCCTCTCTGCTTTAAATTGACCGACACCGGGGAATCATAGTAATAGTTATGAAGCAGTCTGGTCGCCATCATTAAAGGGTTTATAGCTTTTAATCTCTGGTTTCATTGTCCTATAATTAATGCTTGTAACCCACCCTGAGGCCACTCATGGGAAGGGCAGGAATAGAAATTGAGCCAAATGAATAAAAAATAAATAAATAGAAACCATGCTGGATCAAGCCAATGGCCCATCCTGTCCAACACTCCCTTATACTGTGGCCAAAACCCTGGTGCCATCAGGAGGTCCACCAGCGGGGCCAGATCTCCAGAAGCCCTCCCTCTGTTGCCCCCCAAGCACCAAGACGGCAGAGTATCACTCACCTGCTGGTCCTGATTCCTGTCCTCCGCTTGGCTGAGGAGGAAGCCTTCTGCCAGGGCCACCGCCTGGGAACTGGTCTCCGGCCCGCACTCCCTCACCCAGCTCTCCATCTCCGGGGGCAGGACGGCCAGGAACTGCTCCAGGACCACCAGGTCCAGCATCTCCCTCTTGCTGCGTCTCTCCGGCTTCAGCCACTGGCGGCAAAGGCGGTGGAGTCGGCTGCAGACCTCCCGGGGCCCCTCCGCCTCCTGGTAGCCGAACTGCCGGAACAGCTGGCGCTGCACATCTGGAGGGAGGGCGCTGTCCCCCAGGCTCTTCTGCACTGTTTCGCCCCACAGCTCCCTTCTGCTCCCGGCTTCGTTGGCATCGAGGCCATTTCCTATTTCAGCCACAGCTGAGTCCGGCTCTCTCTTCATCCTCCCTTCCACTCCAAAGCGCCTCCACTGGGACCAGTGGATCGCCTTCCTCTTTTGCCAGATTCTCCTATAAAGGATGCAGAGCCTCCTGCAAAGCCAAGACTGTCAAAGCAAAGAGACGTTTTACAAGGGGAATATTATTGCATTGCTTATTATTTATTGCTTATGCATGTGGGGGGAGGGGAACCCCCTGCAACTACCCCGATACTGCCTTGTCCCCCCTTCATCAGATTGCACCCGCAACTCGCCCTTTTCCCAGGGAAGAAGGCAGGATCGGAAGTGATCGTACCGAGTCACACGGCCTTCTTTCTTGATGCCGCTCTAGGAATGGTGACTCTCTTTCCATTTAACCCTTGGATTGATTCTCCACCAGCCAGAAGAACCGGCTCTTGGTTTAACTGTCCAAGAGAGAGTGCAGGCTCTTAACTCTGTACGTGTCCTGTTAGTTTCACTACTCTGGAGTAACTGCAAACTGAGGGAAAGCGAAGGGAGGATTTGGCCCCCTTTTCTGCTCCCGCTTATGTTGATCTTTGCCTGTAAGGAGCAATCCTGACTGGCACAGAAGGGGCGGGGGGCGGGGATAGCTAATACTGAGAAATCAAATGCAGCATCTAGAAGTCTATCTCGAAACGGGATGAGGTTTGAGTCCAGTGGCACATTTAAGCAGATCCGTAGTCAGGATTTTGTGGCTCGTGGGGCAATTTCCCCCCCCCCCCCCTCTGCAGAAGTTCTCGGTGCAGAAAGAAAAGCCAGAATTTTGAGGATTAGGATTCAGCTAGTCTTCTCAGACTGGAGAAGACTCTTGAGAGTCCCTTGGACTGCAAGAAGATCAAATCAGTCAATCCTAAAAGAAATCAACCCTGACTGTTCCCTGGAAGGCCAGATAATGAAACTGAAGCTCAAATACTTTGGCCACCCAATGAGAAGGGAGCACTCACTGGAGAAGACCCTGATGCTGGGGAAGATTGAAGGTCAAAGAAGACCGGACGGCAAAGGATGAGATGGTTAGACAGTGTCATCGATGAACATGAAATTGAGCCAACTTCAGAGGACGGCGGAAGACAGGAAGGCCTGGCGTGATCTGGTCCATGGGGTCGCGAAGAGTCGGACTCAACTGTGCGACTGAACAACAAGTCTTCTCAAGCTGTTTAGTCTACATAGGTGTTCTTATGCTAGCAATCACCCTTCGTCTGAAAAGAAAGCTATTACCTGAACTTATGTCTTTTTACTTAATGATATGATGTATGATGAGACTGTTAAACCTAATATGATCTTAAGGGCACAGAATGTAAGTCATAATATTGAATTAGAACAATGGGAACAAATATGGAAAGAAAACATTAAGATAACGAAAGCTATTGCATTTAAAGAGAATATGTATAAGATGTTTTACAGATGGTATATAACACCTGATAGAATAGCTAAAGGGAATGGTAAGTGTTCTAACAAGTGTTGGAAGTGTTTATCTAGTAAGTAAAGGTAAAGGTTCCCTTGCTCGAAAGCCAGTCGAATCCGACTCTAGGGTTGCGGTGCTCATCTCCGTTCCAAAGCCGAAGAGCCAGCGCTGTCCGAAGACGTTTCCGTGGTCATGTGGCCGGCATGACTAAACACCAAGGCACACGGAACGCTGTTACCTTCCCACCAAAGTGGTACCTATTTATCTACTTGCAATTTCTTACTTTCGAACTACTAGGTTGGCAGGAGGTGGAACTAGAGATGGGAGCTCACTCCATCATGCGGCACCCAGGTCTCGAACTGCTGAACTACTGACCTTCCACAGCCTGTAGTTCAGCGTCTTAACCACTTGAGCCACTGCAACTCCGTTTATCTAGCACAGGATCCTTTTATCATATGTGGTGGCATTGTGATGTAACTAAGAGATACTGGAGATGGATTCATGCAATAATGCAGAAGATATTGGGATGTACAATTCCATTTGCACCCAAAGTAATGCTTCTGAGTATACTACCTAAAGACTTTGAAAAAAGTAATAGATATTTAATTATTTACTTTACTACAGCGGCAAGAATGCTATATGCCAAATACTGGAAGACACAAGATGTACCAAAAAAGCAGGAATATATACAAAAACTGATGGAAACAGTGGAAAGTGATAAATTGACTTTATTGATAAGAGGATCCACAAACTATACATTCCAGAACACATGGAGGCGCTTCTATAATTGGTATAATAGCACAAACGATTGTAACCTAAAAATGTAATCCCCAGAACAAAGTATAGGTTAGAACA